TTTAGGGTTTAGGGTTTAGGATTCAGGGTTGAGGGTTGAGGGTTTAGGGTTTAGGATTCAGGGTTGAGGGTTGAGGGTTTAGGGTTGAGGGTTTAGGGTTTAGGGTCTAGGGTTTAGGATTCAGGGTTGAGGGTTGAGGGTTTAGGGTTGAGGGTTGAGGGTTTAGGGTTTAGGGTTTAGGATTCAGGGTTGAGGGTGGGTTTAGGGTTTAGGGTTTAGGATTCAGGGTTGAGGGTTGAGGGTTTAGGGTTGAGGGTTTAGGGCTCAGGGTTGAGGGTTTAGGGATTAGGGTTCAGGGTTCAGGGTTGAGGGTTTAGGGTTCAGGGTTGAGGGTTGAGGGTTTAGGGTTTAGGGTTTAGGATTCAGGGTTGAGGGTTGAGGGTTGAGGTTTTAGGGTTCAGGGTTGAGGGACCAGGCCACCTGCTCAGCAGCTGTTAAGTTAGGTGAAAATCAGGAGAACACCAATTGGGGGCTACACTTGGACAAATAAGGTACATCTGGAAAGGAAAGGGATAACTTAGGGGAAGGGTTGTTGAGTTCGGGTGCGAGGATTTAGGGTTTAGGATTTTTTATTTCAAGTGCAGGGTTGTGGCCTTTTTGGGGACAGATGGTGGGGCTTAGGGCTTGGGGGTGTTGGGGATCTTGTTGGGGCACCGCGCCTGACCTATGAACTTGACCCTGCAGAGCCTGAAACCCTTAAACTGTAAAGAGACCCTCCCCCACTCGCACACCCAAACCCGATAGGAAACCCTGAGCCGTTTGATCAAAAACCGATCCAAAACCCTGCAATACAGGAGCTTTATCATTCTCAACAATCTTCTCTTAGGATATATTAGCTTACAAGTATAGGGGAACGGTGAGGGAACCCTACTGCATACCAAAGGTTCAAGTCCCTAGATTAGATTCTCATCCGATTCCAAGATCCAGAACTAGGCCCCACAGAGCCATAGCCATGGTGAAACAACTTTTGTCCCCGCCTCTACGCCGACGACCACCGCGCAGGTCACGCCTTAGATCGAAGGCCCCCAGTGCCGACTTCGAGGGTCGAGGACTTAGAGTGACTTAGTAACTAGTGATTTTATAGACTTACAAGTATCATAACCTCAACTCCGCTACCTACAAGTCTACTAGGCACCTGGACAGGCATTACTTAGTGACCTTGGGCATCGAGGCTGCCATCGGTTCCTTGGCTTCGTCCTCTTTGGACGCGTATTCCTTGAGACATGAGTGCCACTCGCCGTGATCGACCATGTCGACGAAGTGCTGTGCCAAGGTCACAATGGCAGGCACCAGTTTGTCATGCAGGGTATAGAAGGAAGCCTCAAAGCGATGCCGCAGCTGCGCCAGCTCCGGGCGTGCCACTGCCTTAGGCAAGCTGCCGATTACGGCCTCCGCCTCAGCTTTGTTTCTTGCCTCCACCATGTGCTGCCTCCCGCGCCTCCACAACTGATGCGATCTCGATCATGTGGTCGTCTACGGCGGGTTCCAGGCCCACTTAGCGACGTGTTAACGTGAACAAGTTCGCAAGACACAAGAGTGAGTTCCTGGGCAAAATGCATGAAACAGTAGGGTTCAGGGTTCAGTCAGAGGTAAACAAGAAAAGCTGCCTGGAGACCTCTTCAAACGAAAGGAACGCAGAAAGAAAAACATAAAAGCAAAACCAAAACCTACCCTAATGAGACGAGTTAGTCAAGCTAAAGCATATGCCGTGATCTGAGACGTCGTAAAACCCCTTACTAACTGCGTATGACCTATACGACCCTGTATGTTTCAGGTATCCCTAAACCTAAACTTTAAACCCGAAACCCTAGAACCTCAAACCCCAAGCCACCGACTCTAATGCTACAGAATATACCTTGAATCCTATAATTCAGGATCCTCCGTCAGCTAAGGCACCGTTCAAGACCGTAGACACAAACCTTAAACCACAAAGATCCTACAATGCCCAATGATACCCCGAACCCTAAACCCTAAACCCTAAACCCTAAACCCTAAACCCTAAACCCCTAAAACTTCATCCCTAAAACCTGAACCCTAAACCCCTAAACCTTCCAAGGTAGGGTTTAGGGTCTAGGGTTCAGCGTTTAGGGAGCCCGTCAAACTTCATCCCTAAACCCGTAAACCTGAAACCCTTGGTTTAGGGTTTAGGGCTAGGGTGGAGCCCTTGAAAATTCATGTCGCAAAGCTGCTCAAGATCATCATGATGATCTCGAAATAGGGGGTCTGCAGGAAATGCTCCATCTTGCCCTGGTTCAGGGCTTGGGGTTGAAGGTTGAGGGTTTAGGGTATAAAGGTTAGGCTTTAGGGTGTATAACGCATTAGGGGGCAGAAGACCCTGTAAAGACTCTAATAAGCCCCTTACAGAGCTCTTCTAGAAGCCTGTTGAAACCAGATACCACCTACATGAACCCCAGACACCCTTTATAGAACACTTCTAAAACCCTTTCCAAAAAAATACAGTGGGCGTCCCAAGGATCGAGCTCTGGTTAACACTGATGGGGACTGTGACGGTGCGGCCCTGAACCCTAAACCCTAAACCCCAAAACCCTAAACCCTAAACCCTAAACCCTGAACCCTGAACCCTGAACCCGGCCCAGACCCAGCAGGATGGAAACTTGTACTGCAGCATGGAAGCGTTGATTCTCGTAAAGGGTTTTAGGGCTTAGGGTTCAAGGGTTAGGGCTTCAAGCTTTAGGGTTTAGGGGCGAGAGCTCAAGGTTCTAGGGTTCAGAGTTCAAGGGTTAGGGCTTAAGGGTTTAGGATTTGGGGTTCAGGCGAGAGCTCAAGGTTCTAGGGTTCAGGGTTCAAGGGTTAGGGCTTAAAGGGTCAAGAGCTCGATTCGGTATAAGGGGGGGGGTTTAGGGTTTAGGGTTTAGGGCTTAGGGTTTAGGGTTTAGGGTTTAGGGTTTAGGGTTTAGGGTTTAGGGTTTAGGGTGGGGGTTCGCGTGGTGTTTAGGGTTACTTGGACGGTCGGGGGACTTAGTAGGTAGATATTCTCTAGACTTGCGAGCACCCTAACCCCAATTAGGATCCATGTTAGGGTACGTATAACTTCCTACTTACTACCTACTTAGGAAGTCCCCCGACCCTCCAAGTAGTGCTTCCGGTTGCGCGAAAACCAAGCCTGCCTTCTTGTTGTAATCCAAACATTTGCCCTGCAACCTTAAACTCTGAATCCTAAACTCTACAGTCGACGGTTTAGGGTTTAGGGTTTTTGGTTTAGGGTTGGCTTAGGATTTAGGGTTTAGGGTTTTGGGCTTTTGGTTTAGGGTCTAGGGTTTTTGGTCTAGGGTTTTCTACAGTAGAAGCCCAAAAGTTAGGAAACCCAATAGTCTCAATCCCTAAGAGTAATGCGCAGGGAATCCCAGCACTAAGTGTCCTTAATCCGGTTTCCAACTTCTTTTAAGGAAATACCCTATATACCCCTTATATAGTCTCATAAAGCCCCTATATAACCCCAAGGGTCCCTTTAAGGGTCCCTCCTTTGATCCCTTGATTTTGGGGGCTTACTACAAACCGAAAGAGCCCAGAAGCATCCAACTCCCAGGTTTCGAAGGTTTTTTCCTGGATTTGGGTTTAGCGTTTAGGGATTAGTGATGATTAGTGCCTTAAATGGGTAGTTCTCTAAATTGGGGTCCCTTTTTAAGTCCCCGGCACCCTTATAAAACGAAAAAAGGGAGCCTAATGTTGGAGAACTCTCCAAATGATGGGGTTATCGCCTTTTGCCATTTCCCTCGTTGCGTGAATAATGCCGGATTAAGGGTCCTGGTAACCTCCTCTGCCAGAAGTTGTTTTCAATACATTGGTCGCTTGTTGCAACGGAGGCTTCCATACAACCATGCCCAGTGTATCATGCTCAGCCATCTCAGCGTTGATGTGTGATTGCTGATACCAGTGGCAAAGCTTTCTTAGTGACACCTCCGGTGTCAATCATGGATTCAACTGCCCACACGCCCACAACGGCACCTTCTTGGCGCTCAGGGCCTTGGAGTCGACTGACCCCTGTAGCTTTTGCAGGACGAGTCCACACAGCCCGTAGATTCCACAGACCTCAAGAGGGATTGACGTCCTATGTAGGTCTGCTGCCCGCACTTTCTACACACGCAGAGGCGGTCCTTAGCATGCTTCTGGTTGATGGCTCTCACCATCTGCGGATCCAGGCCATCAGTGCAGTCCTGGGATCCTGGAAATAAACAGCATAGACATCACTTTATCGACTTATAAGCATCATAACCCCGATCTAGTTTCTTTTTCCCCTGACCCTCCAAGCAGAATCATCAAGTAGATGTGATTCCAGATAGAGTCGTAGAGTTCGGGGCTATAAGGTTCTACAAAGGCTTCTAGAGGGGTTCTGCAAGGGTTCTTGGAGCTTTTGTGGGGGTTTATGAAGGTGTTAAGGTTTAGGACTGAGGCCTAAACCCTAAACCCTAAACCCTAAACCCTAAACCCTAAACCCTAAACCCTAAACCCTAAAACCCTAAACCCTAAAACCCTAAACCCCAAAACCCGAAACCCAAACCGTAAACCCAAAATCCTAAACCCTAAAGCGTTTTGCGGCTCCGGGTTTAGACCCTGCCGATTGCTACCCACACGCCTTAAGCCCTAAGCCCGAAGCCCTAAACCCTAAACCCTAAACCCTGAACCCTAAGCCCTAGACCCTGAACCCTAAGCCCTAAACCCTAAGCCCTAAACCCTAAACCATGAACCTCTGAACCCTACACCCAAAAGGTGCCTTCCAGCTATCGTCAAACTTCGAGCCACGCCGCCTTTGGGTCGAATTTTCGAGCTCAGGGCTAGGGTCTTAGCATTGGGGGGTTTAGGGTTTAGGGTTTAGGGTTTAGGGTTTAGGGTTTAGGGTTTAGGGTTTAGGGTCTTCTTCACGGTTTAGTTCTTCGGGATCGGGACCCAGGGCTTAGGGTTTAGAGCTTGGGGTTTAGGGTTTAGGGCTCAGGGCTTACCGTTTAGGCTTACGTCTCAGTGTAGGGCCTGCTGGAAGCTTGAGGTGCAACTCTAGGAACAATGCCGGAGTGAGCAGGCATATCAGTAAACCCTAAACCCTAAACCCTAAACCCTAGTCGCGAGCCTTAACCTCGAGTAGTATGCCCTGAAGCAGGGATTGGGCATGTCGAAACCCTCAACCCATAATCCCAAGGCCGCTCCAAACTAAGTTCGCAGAATTGGGCTTTGGGGTGAGCCGGCGGGATTATAACCAGAGACCTTAGAACCTCTGCTTACCACTTCCGACAGTCAATGCGAATTCTTAAACCCTAAACCCTAAACCCTAAACCCTAAACCCTAAACCCTAAACAATCCCCGGGCCCGAGAGTAGAACCCTCAAGCCGAACACCTGGCCCACACCCAGGAATTAAAGGAAACTACGGGTGGGGAGTTTAGGGTATATAGGGCTTCTATTAGGGTTTAGGGTTTAGGGTTTAGGGTTTAGGGTTTAGGGTTTAGGGTATATAGGGCTTCTATAAGGCTTCTAGAAGGTAAAAATCCTATAAGGGTAACTACCCACCTGAAAATGTCCTAGACAGAATCCGAAAGACAGGATAAGGAAGTAGAAGTCAATCCTGACGTCCAAAGCCTTCTCAGCGTTCCCAAAGAACCACAATCAAAAATCCGAAAGAACTACATGTTCACGGCCTTAGATCTGAGAAGTCTTGAATCAAATGCTGCGTGTGTCTGTGTGCATGCGTGCATGTATAAATATGCGCACAAAAGGTATCTACATGTTCGTAATATCTAGTTATAGTCTATAGCACGCAAGTTTACTGTGGCTTGAGATTTTTTGCTTATTCTACAACTCATGCCGCAGGCTCTGTTCAAAACAAACTCTTATACAAACATATAAGGACCCTTGCCAAGCCCTGATAAAGCCCTTATCAAACCTTTATCAAACAACTACAAGGTTCTTACCACCTCTTTACCAAACCCTTTTTAAAGTTCTTACAACTCCCTTAGCCAACCCTTATGAAACCGAAACCCTAAACCCTAAACCCTCAACCCTAAACCGAGGGGGTGCCTGGTCTTTGCCATCTCCCGCCTCATACGCTCGAGGTAGGCAGCCTGGAATGAAACCCTCTTCGGGGCGTAGGGCTTAAGATTGGGGCACGGGGTTGAGGGTTAGTTTAGGGTTTAGGGTTTACGGTTTAGGATCTTGGGGCTTATAGGGTCTAAGATTTGGGGCTTAGGGCTTAAGGGTCTAAGATTTGGGGTTTAGGTTTGGTGGTTTAAGATTTGCGCTTCAGGGTTTAGCGTTTCAGCAACCAGAATCTACTTGTCTGTATGGTCCTTCTGGGGTTTGTATTTGGACCCTACAAAAAGTGGATATGCCTGGCCAAGCTTGAGCCTAACCGTAAACCCTAAACCCCTATAGTAGATGCCATAAAGTTGCAAACCGGGTTAAGGACAAATAGTGCTGGGATTCCCTATACATTACTCTCAAAGATTGAGGCTATTGGGTTTCCAACTTTTGGGCTTCTACTGTAAACCCTAAAACCAGGTTGTAAGGTCTTGTGAACTACACTCTGAAGCCTAGGTTCTTGGCTGGGCTCACTCAAGAAACTATGGGAGTTATGGGGTATTCCTTAGTATGTTAATGCAGGAATTAGATCATCAACCGTATGTGTTCATCCCTAAACCCCAAAACCCTAAACCCTGGCAGCATTTGGGGTTCATATGGGTTCATGCCTGAATCTCTGAACTAACAAGACCTCCTAACTCTGAACACACACAAAGCCCGAAGCAAAATGTAAAAGATCTGATCAACAAAAGAACTCGAAGAGGTTTTAGGGTTTTAGGCTTGAGGGGTTCTGGATCATTGAGATGGGGAGCTTAGGGTTTTAGGGTTTAGGAACTCGAAAGGAGTTTTGGGTAGATTTGGTCTGAAAACAGACATGATGAAACGGTATTTTTCCTCATATTGACGGCTTTCTGTCGGGACCTTTATCAGATCGAAGGACAGAAGTTCGATATTGCGGAACCTGACATTGCTGAGAAAACCAGGAACCTGCGTTACCCTATTTAAAGGAAACTACAGGTGGGGAGTTTAGGGTATGTAGGGCTTCTATAAGGCTTCTATATGGTATATAGACCTTCCATAAGGCTCCTGCAACGTTAACTACCCACCTGAAAATGTCCTAGACCAATGCCCTAGACCCTAACACCAAAACGCTAAGCCCGAAATACAGCCAAGAACCCGAAAGCGTAAACATGCGGGAGTGTGTTAAATGTAGGTTGCCTTCAAACAGAACCCCGGAGAACAGGGTCCTAACCCTAAACCCTAAACCCTAATTTCAGGAAACCCCACGTGCCTGCACCTCCCGAGAGGTGCGCATGCGCTTGTGGCTCTTCTTGGACTTCGCCGTCTGGCACTTGTGGAGGGTGGGGGGACTTAGGGAGTAGTTACTTTATAGACTTACTTTTAGGGTACTTATAAGTCTACTTTTTACCTACTTACTAAGTCCCCCGACCGTCCAAGCACTCGATTCATTGCGGTTGCAAGTTGGCATTTTAGGGGGGTTGAGGTCAGGTTTTTGCATGATCTCAAATGGTTGTAGGTGTACTTTAAGGCATTGCAGACACAAGGTGGTAGAGATGTTGAGAGTTATTACAAGCACGTACAGGTTTTGGGCGGGGTTGGCTGCAGCTCGAGAAGTGCTTGTTCTGCGTGGCACTTCTGAACACGGTTTAGGGGTTTAGGGGTTCAGGGTTCTACTGGCCAACCCACCACCCTATCCGAAAAAATAGGCCCTAAACACTAAACCCTAATCCCTAAATCCTAACAGCCCTAAACATTAAACCCTAATCCCTAAATCCTAACAGCCCTAAACACTAAACCCTAAGCCCTAATCCTAACAGCCCTCAACACCAAACCCTTTAACACCCGACCGTCAAGTCAACCCCAAACCTCCTCATTCCAGCCCTTGCTTTGGATTCTCTGGCTCTTCTTTGAAACTTCTTGTAGGACATTGTAGGACATGAACTCCAGGTTCTCAAGCCTCAACACGACTTATGCTTTGGACCTGGTTTAGGATTCGGGGCGTGTTAGAGTCTAGGTTGAGCAAGGGTTTAGGGGTTAGGGTTTACAATTGGGTCGGCTAAGGAATCACCAGGCCAAAGGCATGTGTTCATAGAACCAGGAAAATGCCCACCCGCCCAAGCATACGCATAACATTAAGAATTTACGTAATCATCCTATGGTCAGGACGGGGTGTGACCTGAACCCTAAACTTAAAGCAAAAAGACGTGAAGCTTAACACGAAGCCCAAACTCTAAAGATACCTTCCCTTAGCCACTGCAGGCTCACAGACCTTAAACCCTAAACCCTAAACCCTCAACCCTCAATCCTAAACCCTCAACCCGAAACCCTAAACCCTACACCATAAGCACTACACCCTTACAGAGCGTTGGGGCATCGAAGCGAACGGATCGAAACCATCGCCATCAACCCTCGAACCTTCAATCCCAAGCCCCAAACCCTCAAACCACGGTTTAGGGTTGAGGGTTTAGGGTTTAGGGTTTCGGGTTTGTAGGGTTAACCCTCAAGACCCTTACCACTACGGTTGATGATATAAATCCTGCTTTACCCAGAATAAGTAATCTACCATAATTCCCGTAGTTGCGGGTCCTTAAGGCAATGCAGGATTTATATCACCAGCAGTACTTGGAGGATCTTGGGACTTAGTAAGTAGGGTTATGAGTACCCTAGTTGGGGGTTATAAGTATAGTTACCTTGTCTATAACCTCAGTTACTAGGTCCCATGGCCCTAAACCCTAAACCCTAAACCCTAAACCCTAAACCCTAGGGCTGTTGCCCCCGCATCTCGCCTGGCTCGAGACGGCTTTGTCCACAGAGGCTATGGCTTCCCTGTCCTTCGACCGCGTCGTGTCCTCAGACTTCTTGGAGTAGTGTCGGTTCCCCTCAGTTTCGGGAGTGTGTTTTGTGTTTCGGAATTCTCAGGCTAGGTGATTAGCGTATTCGGGCTTTAGGGCTTTGGGGGTTTAGGTTCAGGTGTTGTTTTGAATCCCATGGTGATGCAGGGGGATGTGTATATGGGTAGCTCTCTAACTGAGGGTCCCTCTATGTAGTACGGCACCCTAAAAAACAAGACCCCAAAACGGTACCCTAATAAGAGAACTACCCCTATATGCAAGGGCCCCGAACCCTTCATCCTGAATTCGAAGCCCATCGCGCAAAAGCCTAAACACCGAATATTGAGTCCCATCATCTGACTTATAAACTTAAGGTGTTTAGGGTTTAGGGTTTAAGGGGGATCCTCTATCCCATAAATCCCTGAGCTCGACATTTTTGATGAGTCCCGGACTCAGTGTTTGCAAATTGTGTGGACTGCAAGTGGATGTCAGACTCTCGCATCTTTCAGGCTTCCACCCTACTACGAAGGGCGATGAAGAGGTGGTCACACAAATGAATTTGAATCGACGGCTGTCATGGACCTCCCAGGTGGGACGAGTCCACCTTGCTCAAGCTCTGAAGCTAGGAGATAAACCCTAAACCCTAAACCCTAAACCCTGTCCTGGAACTCCCCCAGCACTATTCTCACGCGAATCACAATCACATTGAAACTCGAACCCACAATCCCAACAGCACCCGGCAGCCCCGCAACAAGCGGGAGGAAACTGCTGACATGAGAATGACATAAAGAAAGGACGTGATCAACACTAGACATAGTAAGGATACAAGAAGAGTTCAAAAAAAAAAAGCAAAACGAAGACAAAGAAGAATCGCAGCAAGAGTAAACACAATGAGCTCACAAACCCTAAACCCTAAGCCCTAAAACACGTGAAGCAACCATGCCGACACTTCTATCCAGGCTGCGGTGTCCGTGACCTGGGGCAGAGTCTCCTCAGCACCGGCCTCTGACGATCTGCTGTAGGGGCCTTAAGTAGAATAGGGTAATTAGGTTTTTTTAGGGTTTAGGGTTCAGGGTTTTTGTTAATGCAATAGCCCCCAAGGGTTTAGGGTTTAGGGTTTAGGGTTTCGAATCGGGTAATTAGAAGAGGGTTTTGGGGCCCATTATACTTTCGGTAAACTAAGGAAACCCCAAAATAGTATCGGTAACTCTTTAAGCCCCAACAATACTTGACCCTAAACCCTAAACCCTAAACCCTAAACCCTAAACCCTAAACCCTAAACCCTAAACCCTAAACCCTAAACCCTAAACCCAATACTTGAGCTTGTTCGAAAGATTCTTTTATGGCGACCCAGGACTCGGGGTTGGCAGAGTTAGGGTTTAGGCTTTATAGGGTTTAGGAGTTTGGGGTTTAGGGTTGAGGAGTTTAGGGTTTAGGGTTTTTAGGTTTTAGGGTTTAGGAGTTTGGGGCTTAGGGTTGAGGAGTTTAGGGTTTAGGGTTTTTAAGTGAGTTAGGGTAGGATTTAGGCTGTCTTGCTTTTCATGCATGGACCGCAGACAGTCTAGAACCTGCCCCATACGGGCTTGCACCAGCAAGACAGAACACTCACAGCTCCATCACGAAAACAACAGCGTCAACATCACTCGCAGTCGCCAAATACTTCAAGGGATTACGGGAATCATCACAACAACCGCAAACCCTAAACCCGAAACTCAAGTTGCATCAGCCAAGCGAGCCCTCATTGACAGCAAGGGTTTAGGGTTCTGAGGTTCAGGACGTCGGGAGTTAAAGGCATGGAAACATGATGGGACCTACTCAAACTCTAAACCCTAAACCCTTAAAGCCCAAACCTTTAGAGAGAGAGAGAGGTCTGTGTGTATGTATGATATACATGCATACAGCTGCATACATATAAGTGGCACATATATATATATATATACATATATAGAGGTGTGTGCATGTATGTACATACACACATCACGCCTCCCCGTCCACTGCTGCAGCGACCGCCAGAAAGTTCACAGCCTGCCGGGGCATTCCGAGTTTGTCATGTGGTGATGTAAAGGTTTTACAAGGGCTTTATGAAGGCTCTATCGGAGTTGTATAAAGGGTCCATGGGGCTTCGCAGGGAAGGTGTTTATCAGAATCCACATGGTTTTGTAAGGTTTAACACGATCATCTGAGTAGTTGGTAAGAACGTCTCCTTATAATCCCTTTGTAGCTACACCAAATTAGACAGAACCCACTTCACATGTGCATCTAGTCTGAAGGCCTGAGTAGTTTGAAAAGTGTCAGGGAAATGTTCTAGAAGGTCTGGCTGCCCCGTGTGTACAATTTGGGGGGCTGGGGGCCAGGTATCTGGTGGGGAGAGCTTTGGGCGGGGACGCTCTGCACACAGCGGTTTCGGGTTTCGGTTTTAGGTCCCTACATCCTAAAATTTAAACGCGCAAACGTACACCATAGACCCTCCTGAACCCGGCACTGTGGCAGCGCGATTCACACTCTAAAACCCACGCGGCATCTGAGCGAGAGCACGATGTCCATTTTCGGAAAGCTCCAAACGCTCGTAGAAACAACATTGCAGAGCCCGTGAGGCCCGTCGAAACTTGGGGAATGTTGAAGCGCCACGCGGCACTGGGCGAGAGCACGATTTCCCAACCAAAACGCGCACGGCACTGTGGCAAGGACACTCCTATCCTGTGTTTTGAACTAGACATTATACCGTGAACGCAACATGCCACAGAGAGGGCCGCGCATCCACCGTGCGCGCCAGCCGGATGCACCCCGAATGCAGGAACCCCCCGACATAAGAAGCACGAAGTCACTTGGCTGACTTCTGAACCCCTCCAAAAAGTTAAACTTTTAGTCTCCTCATTATGGTTCATATAGAAACCCAAAAAGTTAAAGTCTAAAGAGCCAACCAGAAGAACACCAAGGTCATTTTAAGAACACAGATCCAATCGATCCGTAAGGCCTAACCCTAAACCCGGAAAGGGGGGAGGGGGGTAGCAGACCTTGTGCTGACTGCGACGCTCCGGCGGAAGTGGGCTGACAGCTTCAGCTGGCCTCAGCTGAAAGATTCCTTTCGGTTTAGGGTTTAGGGTTTAGGGTTTAGGGTTTAGGGGTTTAGGGTTTAGGGTTTCTTGTGTTGCTCTCCTACACCTATAACTATCTGTATTTTCTGCTGGGGAGGGTATCTCAAGGGCCTGGTGGCTCATGGTCTTGCAGTTTTGGATTAAAGCTCTAGGTTGTAAGGCTTCTTGACCACGCAGGGTTCTAAAGCTTGAGAAAAAGTACAGCATGTGGAGTTAGGGGTCTTAGGTCTAGAGCTTAGGGCTATAGGACGGTGGCAATGAATGGCAATGACACGCCTGTACTTGTCAGGCGTGCGTGTCGGCACCGCCAGCTGCTCATGTAGAAGACTTCAAACACCGCCAAGGTCTGGGGGCAGGGCGAGGCAGAATATTGACTACCAGAGATGGTTAAACCCTAAACCCAAAGCCGTTCCGGCTTTTGGGGCGCATGGCGCTTCTGGGAATTCCTCACAGGGTGTAGGGCTTAGGGTTTAACCGCCACCAGTCGCCCCTATCCGCCCAGAGCCCTGCCGGTCGTTGCTGTCAGTGATAGGGTAAGGAACTAATGTTGGTCTCGAACACGACTGCCCACCCTAAACCCTAAACCCTAAACCCTAAACCCTAAACCCTAAACCCTGAAGAGTCTACAATCGATGTGACCCAGGATCACGGCCGGGGTTCACGTTCTTCCATGGTGATGCTTGCAGTCATTGCTCTGGGAGGGTTTAGGGTTTAGGGTTGAGGGTTTCGGGTGTTTAGGGTTTAGGGATTAGGGTTTAGGGTTTAGGGTTAGGGCTTAGGGTTTAGGGTGTTTAGGTGTTTAGGTGTTTAGGGTTTAGGGTTTAGGGTGTTTAGGGTTTAGGGTTTAGGGTCCAATAGGCCTGAATGCCTGAATAATTAGAATTGGGTTCTGGGGCATATTTCTATATAATAGAAAAAGGAGCCCTAAGAAATAATAGTGGCAATTCTTGAGGCCCCTCTATTTAAGCCATAAACTCTGACTTAGTCCCGTAGTAAGCAGGCTTGTAAGTATAGTTACCTTGTCTATAACCTTAGTTCCCAAATCCCTTTGAGTGTTTCAGGCACCCTAAACCCAAAACTGACACCTAAACCCTAAGCCCGAAACCCTAATTGAACCCGAACCCTAATCCCTAAATCCTAAACCCTAAACCCCCCCGAACCTGAAGCCTTGAAATTCTGGTGCAGCCAGGACGCGTCTCGGTGTTTCGCAGCACCTCGCACTTGAGGTGTTTAATGTAGGGATGTAGGGGCCTTAATAATTCCAATAGGGTTTTGG